CAGCACTGTTCCCATCCCCCCAATTCCCCAATAAAAAAATTTAAAAGAAACAACAACAAAATAAGTCCTGGACATTAATCTCAGAGAAACAAAATTTTATGTCCTCACGAAAATCTGTACACTAATATTCATAGCAGTTTTTGTTTGTTTGTTTGTTTGTTTGTTTGTTTTGCAACAACCAAAAAGTGGAGGCAACCAAATTCTGGTACATCCACACTATGCAATGTTACTTGGCAATGAAAAGGAATAGACTAGAGACACACAACAAACTGGATGAGTCCCCAGAGAATTTAGCTGAGCAAAGCTAATCCCTAAAAATTCCATATTGTATGATTCCGTTTATAGAACATTCTTTTTTTTTTAAAGATTTTATTGGGAATTGGGGGAGAGAACAGTGTTGGGGAATCGGGAAAGGGGAACAGACAAGTTGCTGGCCTTTTTGTTCTTCAGTCTAGTTGTGGAGGACGTCGCTTCACTGGCCCATGTTGGTATTGTGATCATTACGCTCTTTCTGGCTGAGGCAGATGGTTCGCCGGCCATTGGACGGCTGTTCACAGTGGCTCACAGTAGCTCACACTGGCTGCTGGCCACTCATGGTAGCTCACAGCAGCCCACTGCAGCCCCACCGCAGCCTACATCATCGCTGGTGACTCACAGCAGCCCAGCTCCAGGTCAAGCTGTTGTTCACCATCTTAGCTGTAGAGGGCGCAGTGTCACTGAACCATGTGGGATCACAACCTGCTGCTCAGAGCTCGCACTCCAAAGCCAACTCTAAACCAATGAGCCACTCCACTGGCCCTATAGAACATTCTTGAAATGATAAAATTATAGGAATGGAGACATATTAATGATTGTCAGGGGTTTGGGGTCTGGGGGCAGGGCAGTATGGAGCTTTGGGGTGATGGAACAGTCCAGTATTTCGATGGCACTAGTGGTTCTATGACTTTACAATGTGATAAAATGGCGTAGAACTACACACGTTGTATCCATGTCAATTTCCTGGTTTTTGTATTATATTATAGCTATATAAGAGGTAACCATTGGGGGAAACTGGGGGAAGGGTACGTGGAACTCTGTGATTTTTCTAACGTCCCGTAGAATCTACAATTATTTCAAAATAACAAGTTCAAAAAAGGAAGATAGATGGATATATTCATAGCGTGCCAGCCAGTTGATCTTAAAGTAGCTCTGGGGACATCCAAGTGGTTCAGTTGGTTAAGAGCACGAGCTCTGAGCAACAGCATTGCCAGTTCGATTCCCACATGGGCCAGTGAGCTGCGCCCGAGCTGAGCTGCCACTAGGTTGCAGGATGGCTCAGGTGGTGAAAGCACGTGCTCCTAACAACAAGGTTTCCCATTCGATTCCAGCATGGGATAGTGGGCTATGCCCACCCACAACTGGGTGGCACCTTGAGCTGAGTGGAGCCCCTCCCACCTCTCAGGTCCTCTTCTGAACCCTGGAGGAATGACATTGTCCAAGTCCATCGTGGTCCCAGCCCTGAAGGCTTAGCCTGTGCTTGTTTCCGTTCATAATTATCGCTGCTCAGGGTAGAGTAAAAAAAATGACAGATGACACACAGTACTCACCAAGCAAAAGTGATGTTCACTATAGCAACAGTTGTCACCAGAAATATGTGAGACAGGGTGTTTTATACCTGAAGTGAAAAGGCCATTGAAAACTATATGAGTTCCCTCAAGTGCAGAGAAAAGGTCAGAGGAGGGCTTGTCAACCTACTATTGACATTCGGGGCCAGGTCGTTCTTGGTTGTGGGGGTCGTTCTGGGCACTGTAGGATGTTTTGTAGCACCCTTGTCCCTACTGACTCAATGCCAGTAGCACCCTCCTCCAGTCTTTTTTTTTTTTTTNCAGGTTGAGCTGTTGTTCAGCATCTTAGCTGTGGAGGGCAGTGTCACTGGCCCTCATATGTGGGATCCGAACTGGGGCCCTCTGGCATCCCAAGCGAGTTCTTAACCATCGCGCCACTCGGCCGGCCCGGAAGTCCTCTTTCATGAGTGTCTTCATTCTCCATCATGACAATGCTCCGTCTCATACATGTCTTCTGGTACGGCAATTTCTGTCAAATAAAAACATTATGGGGCCGGCTGAGTGGCTCGTTGGTTTAGAGTTGGCTTGGGAGCGCGAGCTCTGAGCAGCAGGGCCGCTGGTTCAGTTCCCACATGGGCCAGTGATGCTGCGCCCTCTACAGCTAAGATGGTGAACAATAGCTCAACCTGGAGCTGGGCTGCTGTGAGTCGCCGGTGACAGCGTAGGCTGCAGTGGGGATGCAGTGGGCTGCTGTGAGTTTCCGTAAGTGGCCGGCAGCCAACCAGCCAGCATGAGCTGCCGTGAGCCGCTGTGAGCGGCCGTCCAATGGCCAGTGACCGATCTGCCTCAGTCCAGTCGGGAAGAGAGCAATGATCACAATACCAACATGGGGCAGTGAAGCGACATCCTCCACAACTAGACTGAAGAACAAAAGGAAGCAATTTGTCTGTTCCCTTTCCCCGATCCCTCAATGCTGTTCCCTCTGCAGTTCCCCAATAAAATCTTTAAAAAAAACAAAAACATCACAGTGTGTCTCATCCACCTTATTCACTGGATTTGACACCATGCAACTTCTGGCTCTTCCCCAAAGTAAAAATGATTCAGGACATTGAGGCAGCCACAACAGTGCAACTAAAGACACTCACAAAAGAAAACTTCCAGAACTCCTTCAGAAAGTGGCAAGAATGATGGGATAAGTGTATTCGAAGCGAGGGGGGGGGATGTTTTGAGGGGGATTAATGGCAATGTGTCTATTACTGTAATATATTTTTTAATTTAAACATTCATCATATTGTTTTATCACACCTCGTGTAAACTTCAGTTGCTAAGAGGCTATTAAATGTTCTCCAAAAAAGAAATGGTAATTAGGTGACATGATAGAAGTGTTAGCTAATGCTATGGTGGTTATCATATTGCAACATACAAATGTATCAAATCAGCACATTGTACCCCTTAAACTTACACAATGTTATATGTCAATGACATCTCAATTTAAAAAGAGAGATAGATGCCAGGTGTTAAACTCCTGGGCATTATAGGGGCCGGCTGTGTGGCTCAGTTGGTTAAGAACGCAAGCTCTGGGCAACAGGATCACTGGTTCAATTTCCACATGGGCCAGTGAGCTGCGCCTGAGCTGAGCTGCCCTGAGCTGCCAACGGGCAGTCAGATGTCTCAGTGGTTAGAGCATGTGCTCTTAGCAACAAGGTTGCCAGTTCAACTCCTGCATGGGATGGTGGGCTATGCCCACCCGCAACTAAGATTGAACACGGCACCTTGAGCTGAGCAGTCGCGAGCTGCCAACAGGCG